GAGAATATGTTGGGAGCAGTTCAAGTACCATAATACATGAGAAATTTATCTGACCATCACTGTGTAATGAATCACTCCATGGATTGGAACAATCCTACCACAATGTTTTCAAATGGGTATGCTCTCAATAAACAAAGAGACGATGTGCTCTTTCAGGAACTCAGGGTGGGTGTAAGCATCTTGGTACCTATAAAATACGTCGATGACACGCGAAAGGTTAAGAATTCGCATCAAAAGAGGGAAAGGACATGATTGAGGCCTCATTAGCTCTTGGTTCATGTCCTTCCATGCATCTAAAACAATGCTTTCTATATCTTCAATGGCTTTTTCCTTGGAAACACCAAATTGCTCCATATAGCAGTCAACACCCGTTGCTACATGCTCCCTTTTGTGTTCAAACTACAACCACAATATATACATGTCAAATATACTCAATTTGAGTTATAACTACAAACTTGAAATACAGAAATGTATGTGCTCACCTCGTAGCTAGAAATGTCATCCGTGAATCGACTGATTACCTCAGAAGCTACCCTAATTTTAGGGTATGAGCTTAACCATTCAAAAGAATCAAGTTTTGTGAAATCTCCCATTCCCGCAAATGTCATGGCTATCAAGGGATAGTAACCAGAAGACAAGATCGCATTCTCTTTATACTCGTCAAATGTAGCAATGTAATTTTTTTTCAACCATTTTGCCTCTTGCATATATCCGTTCGCTGTTGCTTTCAACTAGATTATGAATAATTGATTAGGTTTGAATACATATTTGAAAAAAAATATATATTTAAGGTTGGTCATTATTGTGGTCTTAACTGATTTCTTAAGATGGAACCCACAACCTGATCTTCCTTCCTTCTCAAGTTTCTCCTCAAGTTTATCATAGCAATCTACCGTGATGCGGTAAATATGCTTCATGCTCTCAGGTAACCCGTTTGGGGCAGCAGGAAGCCACCTGTGTTTGAGCCATCCATTGTATGTCATAGCCATTAAAAACAAAATTCAAAATCTATAATACCTAATTTATATTTTTGCAAACTAATTACTTTTCCATTGCATTTGTGAAAAGCTCAAGCTCCTCCATTGTGCCATACGCATCATACATATCATCAAGTGCTGTGAATAAGATTAGTGCAATAGCTACTGTAACTCGTGCTTGAGAATATTGAGGCTCGAAATATGCTCCAAGTGACCACAAGTACGCCTCTGTTATCCTCTGCCTTGTGTATGTTACTTTAGATTTAATCTCCATTTCATTGTACCACCTGAAATGTAATGAGAGAAGTTCAACTTCATGCAAAACAACTATATACATGTTGAGTGGGTACGGTATTTACCTTGCTACGCAAGCAAGCTCCTCGCGGTACAACAATTGCAGCAAATTAAAATCTATTTTTGCAAACTCGAGTAATGTTGCGTCACAGGATTCTTCTTTCTCGTAGAATGTAATATATTGTCTTGTTTCTATCCTTGAGATGCCTTTATGGTAAGAATGTTTTAGGGCATTCTTGATGCGAATTGCTAGGTGGGGGCTAGAATGAGAAACAATTGCTTTTAAATGAGAGCTCGAGAAGGCGAGAGCTTCGTCTAGAATGTCTTCTCCATGAGTGCTCCATTGTGCAGCTTCATACAAGCTTAACATACCGCTTGTGTCTATCTCTAAGTATCCTTTGAACTTCCCATTTCCGTCCTTRAATTTCTCAAACACATCTTGAGATGTATARATAAATAAAAACTTAGGTTATATGAAAACCATGCAAAGTTTGTTTATGAGTTCGATATTGTGATTTGAAATAAACTAATTACTTACCAGCAGAAAGTTTAAAACCGAATTGTCTGAAAACTTGGAAAATTATTCCAACCGTGTATAAATCGCATTC